ATTCTAGGTCAGATCGTACTTTGCAAGAATTTTTCCGACGGCACCACTGTTTATTTTGGAAAAGGGGCGGAAATATCGTCCTTTAGCGATTTCCTCCTCGTTCCTTGACACTACCTTCTATGACCACGTGAGGCAGAATCTAAGGACGAAAACACTCTTTTCTTTACGGGCACTCACCTACGTCTGAGCTACTGGGATTTTCTGAGCAAGAAGTCTAAAAAGTTCAGTCGCGATAAACTCGTACTCATATAAGCCGAGGATTCCACCCCACAGTACCCTCAATTCGGCTCTTCTCAAATCTTGTCACAGAAATCACAAGAATGCTAGATTACGGGTAAAAATCGTGATCCAGGTAGAGCTTACACCCGCACCGCACGCTTTCCGGGCGAGTGCGCTATCCCTTACGCTACGCTTCTCACAGAGCCTCATGCTCTTCTATATGAGGTCTGTTGGGATGGGGCAATCTATTCGAATCATCCTGCCTTCCACTTGTGATTCAGTAGCAGCCTCCACAGTCTCGTGGAAGTTTCATTTCGCTTGCCTTTTTGAGTTGATTTTGCGGATCTACCACTCCATAGGAGGCGGAGATGGTGTAGGGACAAGTGAGACGCTTACCACGCGCACTCTCTAGCGGTCAAGTCCCGGACCGGCTCCCACCCAAGCCAACCAAGACTTCTTTCCTTTGGGGACATTAAACTGAAACCATATTTATCTGGGAAGATACGAGCTTATACATCGGTTGGCCCCGCAAGTCATTGTATAGGTCAGATCGCATCCACTAGACCACCTCGATCCCGAGAGGAAGTAGAAAGCGGGTCGCATCCTAGAAAAGAACTGATTGGTGGCGGAGTCTTTACCTTTCTTTCTTTCCCCTCCTCCCTGACAGGATCAAACTGGATTTTTGTAGGATGTGAAAAATGCGACCGCTGCAGGAAGCTATGGTTACGATCAGCCATATAATGAACCCTCTTACGCTGGTGGCTTCAATTACCCTCCGTTTTACAATGGACAATACGGACCATACGGACCATATGGACCATATGGAACGTTCGGACCCAATTTCGACGTACTCAAGAACAGTGGGCGGTATATTTTTTTCGTGTTAGTATTTTCAAACTTTGTTTTTTATTTCAGATTATGTATGCAGCGTCGATGTTGCCTACGGTGTCTATACGTCGCATCACCGCAGGGGTGGCCGTAAGGGATTTTCTTATTTTTTTTTCTGAAGAGTAGTTAGTTTCAAGAGAGCGTCTACAGTGATGGCACAGTCCAATTTTGGGCAGAGACAAGTCTTCGACAGTGCCTTTCTCACTGACACACCCCTCCTTCTCCTCGTGCTGAGAGGGTGGCTATCTGTTGATGAGCCTAGAATAGTAGGGCCCCGTACAATCAGCGGACTATATGTAGACTGATGTTAGAAGAAGGGATATGGTGCACAGCCCATAGGCTTCTCCCAGAAACCAAATATGATTTTTTGTTCGCTATAGAGGGGAAAGGAATCATGATGACGTGCCAAAAGGCTGCCTATTAGCGAACGCGTTAAAGCACCCGTCAGGTATGATCTGGCCCGAACTTAGAGACACACTTCACCTGGTAAACTGGAAATCCTAGTTACGGTTGTCTGGCAGAAGCGGCACTACAAATGGGAATTGTGGCGGGACCAATCCATGACCTACAGGGGGGGCCAAAAAAAGTCATTCCGGCCGAGTCACATATGAGCGAAGTTTTCGCAGCCCAGACAGAGGAAGTGGATATGAGTACCAGGGCGGAAGATACCCAGATCTTCCTCTATAAGCAGGAGCCGGCTGCCGCCATTCACCTTCATGTACACCAAAATATGAAGTCATCTCCAGTCGCGGCCTGAGTGGAGAACGCCTTTGGAATTCACAGTGGCCTCACCCGTGCGGAATCTTCTTGAATGGAATCACCCATGGATAGCTACCTGGAGACCAGTACTCTTGATCTGCAAGACCTCAAACATCGAGCAGCTCCGGCAACGTCGCTACGGTCCAGGACATCATCTTCACCCCATTCACCAAGGCGCGGGTTGATGGTGTGGACCGGCCGTACCTGGAATGGATGAACCGATATTTTCTTCGTGGGCCCCAGACTGAGGGTGTGCGCTGGTGGCTACATCGAACAACTCGAGGAGAATATCCCATCTTCATGTCGTCGCCCGTACCTTCTTGGAAACTTTGTACTGCTACAGGATTGGGTGACAACACATTTAATCGAAGGGCGTTGGAAAAACTTTCGCCTACTTGGAATGGAAGAACGTTGAGTACCTGGAAAAGATGGAGTATTTAAGCGGGGGTCCTGAACTAAACCCCCTCAATTACTCGTTTGGGCGGAGTCAACAGGGTGGTCTACAGTGGCGGAGAATCAACGATCTCGCTCAACTCCGGTACCCACTCACTTTCGCGCGGCCGAATCTCTCGATGGCGCTCCTCCAGAAGGCTGTGGCGGAGTATCGTTATAGTATTTAATGTGCTCTTTAATATGGTAGTAAAAATGTCCGATAAAAATTCAATAAAGTGTAACTTATAGCGCCTTGAAAGTCATGGAGGCAAAATGACTTTTTTTTGGCCCCCCTGTAGATGGCGTGAGTGCAAAAAGATCTCTGCCAAGTATTTCTGGAACTTTTAGGAAGTTCTGAACGCAAAGCTCGTTACGTGCCGAATCGACTAGCTTGGAACAGGGCACGTCCTGCTGTTGAGAGAAAATTTGCAAAACACGATCCCCCTGAATGCCTTTCTCTGGCACGACCCCTCTTCTCATCCACTATACCCATATGTACCTACCACTCTCCTTGAACTCTCCTAATTTCCTACCACATTTATGAAAAACTGCACTTTATCCGAGAGCGGGGGGGGACCAAGGAAGTCAACAACTGAAAACATTTCTTCTCAAAAGCAAGTACGTCTGCCGCTCCCAACGGCAGAACTGACTCCGCTCGCGGGGGAATCTCTCACGCACGTGTCCTGCTAGAGGATACCGAGCCGGTTTCTACATTATCGTCATCAGAATCACACCACAGCAAGTTCCAATATTTCCCAAAAGGCAATTCAGAAGATCACGTAGAAACTGGCTTCTAGCCAGGGCGCGTTGTGCGCTTGAGATTCCCCGGCGAGCGGGGTCGTATTTGGTCGCTTGTAGGAGGGGAGTCGTATTTACTTCTGAAAAAAATGTTCTGACTGGTATTACTGGTCGATACTCATTTCAGGAAAATTTTTTGAAAGACGTTCTGTAGAATTCATGTAGGACAGAAAAATCTTCCTTTCAGTTCGACGACCTCTCGTAAGGGAATGTGCTGACGTCTACAAGGGCGGGGATCCCACCAAAGTAAGCTCGTTCATTTCAGTTTCATTGCGTCAGCATTGTTCACAGTTCAGCTGCGGCGAAGTTCGGCCTAGAAGGAGAGGCTTTTTTGAACTCCTGTAAAGCTAGTGAATGTTGCGAACCCATTCCCAAAGCACTCTCCCCCAACTAGTTTCACCTACTGCGGCACTCTTTCCTCCCCAGGCACAGGTGCGATACCTAGGCTCACAGTGCACCCATGGCTTATAGCGGGCCCCTTGCTACTTTGTAGTTTAAAGGTACGATCCGCGTTAGGTAGAAGTTGAAATATGGCATTGGGAGAATTATGTAGACCTCGACAAAAACATTGTAACGGTTTTGCGACAAAAAACTGCAAGGGAGGGGCGTTATAGCGGAATATAGGTTCAGTGACGCCTCCTTTTTTCCAGTTACTCCGCCTCCAGACTCCACCCTCAGAGCCCGCCTTTCAGTGAAAAACGAACGGACGAAAAAGCAGACAATCGTCACTTGTGCGAGTTTCTCGTAGAGCTCTTATCAACTGTGCGGGTGAGGGCGTGGTTCGAAAATGGAGTTAATTGGGCACGTACAAACTGGGATTGGAATGGGGTTCTATTTAGGGCAGTTGGCATGTTTTTTCTGCTTCTTTTTTCTTTACTATCGAGTTAATCAGAACCTTGTAGTCTATATGCGGACTCCTAATCCACTATCTGTGGTGGCGAATGATCGTGGGCTTTGCCTTCAAAGGCAAGTGTACGATAAATCCTAAGCCATAAAGCAGGGTAGGATAAATACGCTTGGCGGGACAGAATTTGGCCCTTCTGAGCAGGCACTGCGCAGCGCCTTTTCCAAAGGAACCCTCTATAGCGCCCTATCAAGCTGCAACCAAGAGACGTTGATATGAAGCGGCTGCGGTGCTGCGTTGGCAACGATGCAACGGGAAACGGCGCCGGAATTGCTTTTCTGCGTCGCGTCGTTTTTGCAAGTTTCTGACCGGTTTTTTTCTACTTTCCCACTATCCATTCCTTCCCGTCTAAAATGGGTACTCCTGCGACCATTTCAGACCGAGCACCAGACTATCATGCCTTAAACCTGCGCCGATTCTGCCTAACCAAAGTTTCAAGTTTGCTGGACTAGTACGTTGACCGGGAGCTTGAACTAAATGCCCCTGTCCTACGCCGAACAGCGTCACTTTTACTGTTTTCCATAAACTCGGTATTATTATGTTCTGTGGAGGTTTTTCTTCCTTTTGCAATACTCAAGAGATCCTGAAGAGTTTCATTTTCAGAATAAGAACTGCGACAAATGCTGCAAGAAGGCTGCTCACCTCGCTGGGATGAGCGAGGTATGGTGCTAATACGGTATTCATTGCTTGCTAGAGATACGGTATTGATTCGCAGACTTCCTGATCCTTCAGGAATTTCATTTGCAAGTATTTTTGATACAAAAATCGGTGGAGTCATACACCGTGGAAAACTTCGAGCGATTTGACCTTTGGAACATCGAAAGCTTTCGCCTGTATACGTTTATTGGCAGGGGTATTCGGGACAATTCTGGAGTGGTTATTTCATGTGAGAATTGCGGATGGGAAAGCGAATGTACACCTACAACCTTGTTCGCTGTGGATGCTAGGGCCATCAGGGTGGAGTGGGGGTGGGTTTTTGTGAGGCAGCAACCCATTCTCCACCAATTGCGGAAGCTGACAAGACCGCAAGTGGTGGAAACTGAGTGGTGCCGCAGCAGACTCGGCCCTACCGCCGCTCGACACCCCCCAACGTCGGCAACGAACAAGACTAGTGCGCACTAGCTAAACTGTACTAATTAGTTCGCCCGCTATGCCGCCCTTCGGATATCCTTGGCTATACTGGGCATGACCGTGACTTGCCAATGCAAAAGATAAGACGTGGTACAGTCGCTCTGCCGCCTTCCTCACTTCCTTCACCCCATCCAGGTAGAGAGGCAGCAAATGATAAGGCACTATATGTACAGTGCGGCTTTATATGTACAGTTGATATCTACGATCGGGGAGTCCTCCACAGGTGGAAAACCAGTCAGTCGTTGGCGTTTTCCTACTAAAATGGTCACTATGTATAAAATGGCATCGGAGGCGGGCCTATTCCGCCCCTCCTGACATAGCGATACGAATGATTGCGGCTATATATAGGTGTGTTATCCTGCGCTTTCACATGCTGACAGTCATAGGTCAGTCTAGAAAGCCACTAATTGGACCTCATTTTGTGAATCTATCTCTCTTTACCAAAATTATTCAAGTGCATTTGAAAACTCAACAACTAGTTTCAGAATTAGCTTTCCGAAATTCATGAGACTTCTTTTAGAGAGAAATCCTTGGAATGATGCTGATTATGGACAAGAAGCCGAAATGTTCCTGCTGTGCACCGTACAGCGCTTTTGAGAGGTTCCTAGCCGTGCCAGTGCAGTTTGCTGCCTTCCAACCACCTCTTCAGCCACCAGTCAGCTATCAACAGCCAGCTTATTCAACAAACAACAACCAACCCACCGGATACTGAGTGACGACCGAGAAGAAGTGAACATCACCGCAGCCATTGAGCTCTTCATTCGTGCATGATACTGTTACCATTGATATCGAGTAAATATCTACCGTAACCATCACA